TGTGGGTTGATGATAAATGTTGTGTTGATTTGGAAGATCTAATAAACTTCTGGTGCCTTTCCACCTTGTTCTTATGAAAACTTGCCATAAAACTTGTTCATCTTAACTAGTCTCACTTTGTTTCTCTCTGGGGACAGCTGAAGGGTCTCTTCTGGTCAGGTAGACCAAAATGTTCTGTGGTTGCTTTCAAGGTGCTGTGCATTTCTTCTTCTTCTTTTTTTTTTTTTTTTTTTGTTTTGTTTTGTTTTGTTTGTTTGTTTGTTTGGTTTTGTTTGTTTGTTTTTTCACCTTTATCACTTGCAACAGTGTTTTGAAGATTACAGTAGTTTCATTTGTTTTGTCCATGAAAACCTCACAGCTTTGCTTGCATATTCATATCTCACAGTGGTGATCATCATTCTGCTGCTTTACTTTCCTTTTAACTTTTTTTTTAACAAGTGTCAATCCTAATATGTTTATTTCTTCTTGTTCTATCCACTAGTTGAGAAAGATGGGGTTGTTTCCCCATTTGTTTGTTTTTCCCTTTTCTTTGTATTTCTACCTCTCATTATACTTTCTTGTTGTTTCTTCTTTTATCCTTTCTTTGTATAGTGGCTTGTTGTTTTTGTGAGTGTCCTTTGCAATTTTTACAGCCTTCAGTTTTAGACCAGATTTTCTTGTCTGATCCTGTTCTCCAGAGCTCTTGCAGTGTCCCCAGCCTCATGGCATTTCACTATGTAATCTGCTCCTGTTATAATGTGCAGATTAGAAACTGAAATATTAAATTTTAGTTTAAAACTAAGTAATATTGAAACTTTGCTTGGTATGTCCTACTATTTTTGGTTAAATTTTTCCATGTGTGGCTTTTCCAATGGGTTTTGAACACAGGCTATAGATGATTCTGTGGAACTGTTCGGTCATTTGTTTGTGAAAGTATCTTTCAGTGACTTTAGGGCCTTTTGACACAATATGATACCTGCTTTTTTTCCTGTCTCCGAGGTCTGTTGCACTGTCATAAAGTGCAGTAATTGGAATAATACAATTTAATTTTTGACAGACACGGATGAAGTGCTACTTGTCTCATGTGGGTTTTTTTCTTAAGTGTTGTTGTGTGCTTTGAATTGTTGCTGTACTTTTCCAGAAATTTAACTGGGTATACTGGAATGTGGAGTGGAGCAGAAGGCAAAGTTTTATCCTTAATTTATTTTTTGGTGATGTTCTGGTCAGCATCTTGATTGTTTTGATTTCATGTGACCCATTTTTCTTCTTATCTTCAGGCTGTTTGTACCTTGAAATAGACATATTTCCTCTTTGTTGCTTCCACAAGAAATGAAAATTAATAGTTATTATTGTCTTTATCTGTGGTGTAAGAATGATTTATAATTGAATTTATATTCCCTGCAATGCTTCTGTTCAGTGTTATCTTTCTGCAGTGTGCAAAAGAAATAAACTTCAAAGTGTAGTATATTTCGTTTTGAATACATCTATGTTGCTTTTTCTTCTCCACAGAGGATGAAAAAAATCATGTTTAAATTATTATAGAACTTCTTTACCTCTGAATAACCTCTTGAAATTTAGAAAAATACTATGAATTTTTTTTATAACTTCTAGTTTAGATGCTTTATTTTAGGGTAACAGCCGGTTATTGCAGAATTATCTGTCTTAGTTTTTAAAACTTTAAAACTTAGTTATAAAACATGTTATTTTAATAAATGCTTTGGATCATAATAATGTGGAAGAAATGGCAGATGGGAATAGTCAGTTGAGGGAGCTAACGCTCTGTAGTGCATCATTTGAGAGGAAAGAATAAGAACTGCAAAATAAAATGGAAAGTGCAAAATGCGTAAGTGTTAGAATTTTTTTTGCGCCGTAGCTCTTTGATGGTGCAGTTGAAGTGCTTTTTTAGCAGCTTTAAGCAGTAGAAATTAAACTTCTTTAATTTCCGTTTTTATGATCAGAGTACTCCTATGAGAGACTTTCTGATATCGCTATTATGCTTTCTTCAAAAGCATTTATCTTGGTTGTGGGGCAGTTGTATAAATATTTGTAATTTAACTTCTTGAAAAAATGCTTTATGACTGCCTTTATTGGATACAGAAGATCCTAAAGTCAGATTTGGATTAATGAGAATGGGGACTAGTTTGTGTCTCTAGTAAATATAGATACTCAATATCATGTCTATCCACCAAAAGACTGTGGCTATAATTATCCTTTTGGTAGAAACTGTTTAAACCAAAATGTTCTTCTGATAGGGTTTATGGCTGTGATTTCAGATGTATCAAATAATATTTCTTCCTTTCCCAGACAGGATGGGGAAAATGCCTAAAAGTAAAAATTGTCTAGACTTTACTTTTACTGTCCAAATAGGCTGAGGTTTTTGTTTGTTAAGGAAATGGTTCTGAATTTTATCTTAGTTTTCCACTACTTAAATCTTATATTTGTCCCTTTGCTTGAAAATCAGCAATGCTTGTCTTACACGTGACAGCAAAGGTCAGAAGTGATGCCTAAATGGGAAACAGTGCCTTACTGCCAAAGTAACCTAAAAGTATTTATTTTTCAGTCAGCTCCATGCTTAAAGTCATAATAGAAACAAAATTATATCTGGAAAGGCTTAGGAGTAGGGTAATTTTTTAAATGCTAGAGTTTGTTAAATAAGACAGTGAAACACGTATACCATTAGTGCTTTAGAGAACGTGGCAGGTTATTCTCATCCTAAAGTACTTAATTTCAAAAGAAGTAATACATTTCTTAGTTTAATCATTCAAGTTTCAGAAGATAGATTAAAGTGAAAACAAGTTGTGACTTTGTCATAGGATTGACTATTGCTTTCTTAAAATTCTTTTTTGTTCCAGATAAAGGAAACACCATTGATATCTAGGTTTATGGCTACTACAGTAGTTGACTGTAGTTATGTATGTATGTTCCTTACTGGGAGACTTAGAAACACCAAAATTAAGTAGTTGCACATGTATAGTGGTGTAATGTGTGCATGCATCTTTATCTTTCATTAAAGCAGAGTAGGAATATCAAATTTATTTTGAAATTTTTGAACTACGTCACTGACTGTGTTTGTGTAACTAAGCCTTACATATTAAATTATTCATATTTTAATCTAAATTTATGTGTCTTTGTGTTTCCTGGACAGTTCTGTGATTAAAAATCAATGAATAAACTGCATGTAGAAAACAAAAAGCCTAGAAATAATGCAGCTTGTCCTGACTACTTGCTTCTTTCCCTTCCTCTCATGCCTTCCCTTTTTATGTCTTTATTTCTGTAAATTTTCTAAGTCTGAGAGACTTATGACGAAGTGTTGAATTGTCTCAAGCTATGCTACCTGACCCACTGTCACTGAAAAGGGAAGATCCTTTTCCTGTTGTCCTTTGCTTAGGCAAACCAAAGGCTGACATAGTGGTCAGCATCTTACTATACTGGCTACAAACAAAGGAAGCAAAACTGGTGAATTGTTTTCTGTGAGGTGAGTTGAATCAGTTCAGTGTGGAAGGTCAGATGTTCACCAGATGAGACCCTCAGAAGAGTTCTGTGTTTTGTTTTGGGCTTTTTTTGTTGCCTTTTTTTTTTTTCATGTTCTGAACAACACAGTATTTTATCTGGTGGGGATCAATGAGTGCTGTCAAAAGTTAAGCAACCTGTTTGTCTTTCTAGTCTTGATTAGAATCCTGAAAGCAGTATTTAGTTGTGTCTAGGTTTTAATGATTACTGAAATGTGTTCTTCCAAGTGCCATTTTAGAGATGAAACTATTAAATAGACAAACCATAGTATTCTTACTAAAATAATTTAAAAAATAAAAACAATCTTTTCCAGCTTCTGTGAACCAAGAAAAATTGGGATTCATGGTTTCATGGTGCTCTGTATGTAGAGATACAGGCATGATCTGACTGAAAGCTTGAGTCTGACTTTAGACTATGAGGAGCATATTTCTTTGCATTGCATCTTCAATCAATTTTACGTGAAAATGGTGAAATCAGTAACGCCAATGGAAGGTTATTTTTCATGTTCCAGTCTTTAGGGAAGCAAATTCTATTTTTAAATTCATTCTGGAGTTGTCTCTCAGCTTTAGTTAGGGGCTAGGGATACCCTTGTTTCTTCTTTCTCTTTCTCTATAACCTGAAAACGTCGAGGCGATGTGAATTCAGAGAAAAGGCGAGGATCAAAGTCTTTGCAGGGCTGCTGAAGGTTTGTCTAACCTATAAGATACTTGAGGCTGTAAGATGTAAATTGTTTTACAGCTTTATAAGTATTATTTATTTATATTATAAATAGTACTTTGCAATAATATTTGTGTTTGTTTAAAAAATACAATTTTTGATAAAACTGTATTTTTGGGAACACTGTCCACAGTCTTATCCAAATCTTCAGTCATGGCCCATTAACCTATTTTTTGTGAGGTTTCACCAGAATCACTTTTACCCCAACAATGTTAAATTGTTTGCTAGTACATGCAAGAAAAAGTAAAATCACTGTGACTTTACATCTGTACAAGATTAATTTGGTCAAATTACTAATAAAAAAGGAGCTAGACAACTTGTGAAGTTTGGAGTCAGTATAATTATTTTATGTGTGTCTTAAAGATAAAACCCCATTGAAATTGAGTGTAATACTGAGAAAAGTGGTTTTGTGGATGCAAATGACCTAATTGGTTTTGGAAGAACAAATTCTTATTCTCCACCCAGTGTTGCTGGCCTGTTTATAAAACAGTCTCTGGACTGTTTTAATAGCATTCAGCAAAAAAACCCCCCACCTGCTCTATCTTTGACTTGGGTTGATGTGTTTTTAGTAAGATATCCTAGAAGAAATAATGCAACTGTAGTGCAACTACAATGTGTTGTACTGTTTTTATTCAAAGACACTGTCACTGAGGATTTGGAATGACATGATAGACTGGGCTCTCTTAAACAATTTCTAGTAAGAAAGCATAAAAATGTTAGATTTGAAAAATGGAAGCCACTATTTTGGAATTAAAATTTGAACTTTGGTCTATAGCAGGTGAAAGACATCCTTGCAGGCTGATATGATGACTTAGACAAGAAATAGATCATCTGGAGGGAGTTGCAGGGTTTTAGTAGCACTGTGTGAAATTTGAATATAGCTCAGTGTGTCATTTTCTATAAAATGTTTTCTAGTTGTATTTACAGAAACTCATTTAATTGTTTTGATGCAGCTACTTTGTTAAAGAAAAATGGTTTCCTTACTGACTCTTTTTCCCCGAGCTTTACATTTTTAAATGCAGAAATATAATGCTACTGTGTATTTCCTCTGTCTTCAAAGTTACATTCTTCTGTCTTGCTGTCTTCTTTGTTATTATTTTTTAAAGCTGTTTTTCTTGAGAGAGTACATCAAGATGCAGACAGGGTAACCATAAGCCTTCTTGACATTGCTGCCTTGGCCATTTCATATGCATCTATCCAGTCACTTTTTTTTTTGCTAAGGTACTTCTGCAAGTTTGAAACTAAAGGGTCCTTCCTATGAATTCCAAGAAAAGTGTTTTGTTTAATTTTCTTGAGTTTTTTAATTGAGAAGGAAAAAAATTTTGTTCAAATGCCCATTTAATTGCATGTCATTGTTGGTCAGCGAATTAGATATTCTGCCCCATTCAGAGAAGAAAACTGCTTATGCACAACTCGTTCCATGGAGGGGAAGGACGGAGTGTCTTTTTTATCTTGCATTTGGAGTCTGGGCATGTATTGCATGTGATGGCCTGGCTGCGGTTCCTGATTTGACCTTACATCACTTCACCATAGATAATGGAGCACACATCCAGTTTATGGACAGCAGTGTCTCACAACGTTATGCTTTGATGACATCTCTGTCCATCTATGTTTTGAGAAGGTATTCTGTGTTTCTTAACACTTAATCCCTTTCACTCAGGGACTACTTCCATTATACTTTATCAAGAACATATTATGCAAATGTATGCAGTTTTGGGCACCACAGTATAAGAAAACTATAAAGAGGAAACTGAGGAGAGACCTCATTGCAGTCTACAACTTTCCTGTGAGGGGCAGAGGAGTGGCAGGCACTGATCTCTTCTCTGTGGTGACCAGTGACAGGAGCCAAGGGAATGGCCTGAAGTTGTGTCAGGGGAGGTTTAGGTTGGATATTAGAAAAGATTCTTCACCCAGAGAGTGGTTGGGCGCTGGAATAGGCTCCGAGGGAAGTGGTCACAGCACCAAGCCTGAGAGTTCAGGAAGTGTTTGGATGAAACTCTCAGGCACATAGTGTGACTCTTGGGGATGGTGCTGTGCAGGGCCAGGAGTTGGACTCTGATCCTTGTGGATCCCTTCCCATTCAGGATATTCTGTGATTCTGTGATGTGTATTAACGTATATGCAGTATTTAAGTTTTTCTGATAGGAAGTGTAACATTGATTTTTCAAGCTAGAAATTTTGGGTTAAATACTTGTTAAATTAGAGCATTGCTGCTTTACTTACCTGTTAACTTACCTGGAAAAGCGCTAACATTTAGAGGACAATAAATATACCATTGTTCTCACTCCTTAAAAAAAAAAGTTAAATTTATGGATATAAGATTATATATAATTTTGTTAAAAGTTAGGATTTAAAAATGAGCTGAAAGTGATGTTTTTGTTAAAAATCTGACAAAGTCCTTACTAAGTGCCATTGATTCATACTGCTTTGTTTTAATGCATATAATAAATTCAGAGATGAGCAAGGATTGTCATGAGTTTTATTTTAAAGAGATTGACTTTTAAAAAGTATGTTTTCCAGTTCTTGTGTTAATTTTTAAAATTATTGTATTTTAAAATCTGACTTTTTGCTTCATAAGGAAGGTTGCTTAACACTATTGACCACTAGTTTTGCTGGTTTCTGCTTAATTAATTATTAGTGTTCACATGCTGAATATGTAATTCTTTTTCCCTTTTCAACTAAACCGGTGATATATTTACAGTTGAAGTAATCTTTTCGTTCACGTTAATTAAAAAAAGCCTTATGCTATCAAGTATTTCAGCAGTTTTAAAACAACTTCTTCATTTTAGGTTAGTGAAGACCTGAAAACTGAACTGGCAAATGAGCTGTGTGCATCAACTCCTGGCCTCAGTCTGCCTAAAGTAAAAGAACAAATGTTCTATAAGGTAAGTAGAAATTGCTAAGTTCCTCAGATCTGCATTCATTCCCTCTTAGTTAAATGTGCAGTTACTAATTTTAAGTTTACCCAATACTAACAGTTAATCCAACTATCTAAATTAACTGAGACTAATGAGAGTTTCTCTGCTTCATGTGGGTATAAGGGTAGAGAGAGGGACTGGGAAAATGAAGGGAGCTTTAAACTACTATGAATGTCTTCTGTCCTCTTCTGCTATCCCTTGCTTTTGACACAAAAATGGCCTGAAGTTTTAATGTTTCCCAGACAAATGACTTAATTTGCCTGGCTGAAGGACAATTCAGGATGGAGACATTCTCAAATATCTGTTGCTGAAACTATGTTTGGTCTGATTGTATTAATCTGGAATTCATTTTGTGAGAGAACAAGGGGAGAGGAAAGAAGTTTCTAAATGGAGCCCACTGATTCTTTGGAGCGAAATTGTTTGGGTTCCAGATCTGTTAGCAAGACCTCTTAAATGTAGCTTACATGAATCAAATATTTCGAGACATCTGAAACAGAAGGCCAGCAGAAATCCATTTTCAAATATCAAATCAGTAAGCAATGCAAAGCTACATAAATGAGTTAATAATTGTAGATAGGACCTTTGAAGTATCTTATTTTGATGAGTTGTATGACTTTCTATAAGCAAACAGTATTTTTCCACCAAAGTAATGATCAGCTATTCCTAAGGCAGCGTGTAATTTCACAATCTTTGCATTTTGTCTGGAGACAGTGTTAAAGGACAGAGAATGACTTCAAGCTTTACTGGTCCGTCTTGAATCTCAGAGCTGTTAACATTGTTAGTGCATTATTTTGCTGTTTCAAAATGTATGTTTTTCTTCTTTCTCAGGTTGGACTTGCGGATGCTGTAGATCTATTTAGAACCAGAAGAGTATTTGTTAAAGATGGCTTTGCTTATGTGCCATTTAAGGAGATTGATGCGATTGTTTTGAATAACTATAGAACAAAATTATCTAAAGCATTGGCGGTAAGTCAGACAGTCTGATTTTTACAACTTTTGTTGCGTTATTTAGTGACACTCTTGGACAGTAACTTTTTTTGACTTTTAAATTTATCTGCTTCCATCTGTAAAATACCAGAAATGCTATCAAAAATACTGGCAGCACTAAAAAAGTTCATTATAAGCTGAATGTTCATAAATTTTAAATGGAATTTAGCTTATGATGCGCATTGTAAAGAAATTTCTGCTAGAGGATTTTAAAATTGTTTCTCACAGAGACAGTAATATGACCTTTCATTCAAAATGTTAGCCCTATGCACACAACTGTTTTTTCTACTCATCTCTTTTCTCCCACAACATTTTGCTACAGTTTTTTGTTGGAACAAGTAAAATAGTTTTTTTTTAATTGTTCTCTTTCTTTTGTTAGTAAGAACTGAAATAAGCTAAGTCAGAACATGTCAGGCAAAAGCAAAGTCTTTGTTGTATGAATATTTGAGGTATCACATCTGGTTAGGACATCTATACTGTATGTGAATGTTCTTCTGTTAGTAATTCAGTGATCAATTCAGGAATTGCCAGTTTATGGTTCACAGGGTTTAAAAGTTGTGACCATGTCTAATGCACAGAATTTTAGTCCAAGAAAATGCAGGGTTGAATAACATGAAGGCAGTTTAGATTGCTGTTTCAAAGCTATTGTATTGCTTTGTCACATTAATATCAAGGTTGACTATGAACATTTAGTAAACAAAGAGTGTGAAGTAAAAATGCATTCCTACAACAAATTAGAAAATTAGCATACTGGCATCTTCTCAATTTTGAATATAACTGGAGCCTGTGGAATTCTTTAATGTGCAATGAAAATTGTGATACTCATGTGAACATTTTCATTAGAACTCTTTAATACAACTGCAACTGGAGATATCTGTATTTCAGTTGATGCATAATGTTCTTGCTGAAAGCTGATAACATTTATGTAGGATTTAAAAACAACTAATGTTTCTATAGAAGTGTAGCTAAGTACACAGGTTATCTGCATCTATTTAAAATACCTGTGAGAAGCTTTGTGTGCTTCTGGAATTTGCCTATTGTGTAAGTAGCTGAGAAGTCTGAAAAACAGTAGGAACTGTGATGAGTAGGCTTCCTGACTTTTCAGTCTGAGCAGAAATCTGCAACTTTTTCTTATGAACACATGCACTATATATTACATATGAACACACCCCCCCATCTTACATATTATTAATTTAACCCAGATTACTTTGTTAAAACCAATAACTGTTTTATAGTAAATATAGATATTTCATATATACATACGTATATATACACACACTATATAAAACTTCTTTATATTATGCTTTGTAGTCATGACTTAGAAATTTGAACACTCGTGAGCTAGGAAAATTATATTCTACAGAACTGCTGTGTTTTAAGTATTATAGTATTTCAGATTTGCATTATTTTTTTGTTTTAATGCATAACCTTTGTTTATTGAAGTTGACCATATTTTCTGACTAAAGAATAAAAGAAGATTAGTGTTCTATTCCAGAGCTTTTGATTGAAGTTAGGGGTTTTTGATCACTAGTTTAATGTGAGAAACTGTGTTTAATAAACTGTTTCAGCTATTTTTAGCCAGCACAGTGCACTGCTAAGAGATGCTAGGAATATTATTAATTGGAGTCTTTTGGAAATGAAGGGCAAAATTCCATCATGTTTTACAGAGGTCAATCTAATGTTATTCTGTTACAGGAGAGGCATAACTGAAGTGTGATACTTGGTAGCTGGATACTTAATGTAGTTTTCAATGGAACAAAACTATAAACATCAATTACACTTCAGTGAAACTGTAAGAATACACTTTTAAATAAAGCACTGTATGAAGGAATCTTTTTCAAATCTAAAGATGGTAATGGTTGCTGTTCTGCAACATACAAATTTGGAGGATAATCCTTAATGATTTTCTTCAGCCATATCTAGACTGAAGAGGCACATTTCAACAGAAGTTATGACACAGTAGCACAATTCCAGTATCGTTTGTGAAAAGTGGTTGTTGAAATAGTATTTGATCTAGACCTAAGTTCTGCAAGTACGACTGGTTTAGCTGTACTTGATAGGACATGGATGCTGTGTGTGTCTGCTGCAGAGGAGAAATCAGTCAAGAGAAACGTGCTTCACTTCAAGCACTTTGGTAGTATAGAGGTCTTGACGACTTTGCACAGAAGTTGTGCATCATGGTCAAACTTAATTAAGAAGTAATAGAGCATTAAACATCATCACTGGGCTTGTTATTTAATTTGTCTTTTAATTAATGTATTTGATAACATTACCACTTTGGTAAGCATTACTTATGTTTTCTTTGAGAGTATATTTTAGTGGGTTTGCAGCATCTGGCTTTTTACACTTTGTTTTCAGCACTTTCTAATGGGCAATCCTTTTTTTATTTGAATTTGAGAATTAAACATCTTAACAGTGTGATAATCCAAATTAGGCTTGAATGCTGTTTCTAAAGAAGGGGTTTGTATCTTCACAGGGTCATAAAATTAGGTTAAATACTTGTATCTTCTGTGGGGTAGTTTGACTTTGGCCAATACTTTTGGCTTTGACTATCTGTTGTAAGCTTCTAAGGGACAAAATACCCTGATTATAGACAGTGGAAAGACGGTCTTTCAAACATGTAGTTGTGAGGAATCTTTCTTTACAGCTTTCATTAGTGGTTCAATTCTTCAAGGTTAAAGCAGTGTAGTTTTCTTGCATGGGTAAGTTTGCAGTTATAATAATATAATAATATTGATTATTAGTACTTGATGAATGTTTTGCCTCCTGGAGTTTATTTGGTGCTACTCCAAGTAGTCACATGCACAGGTTTTTGGAAGGAGTTATACCTACACAGGAGTGATCTTATGATGAAGGCCTGCCCTGTCTTTTCCAAGGTGCTCTGAAGCTGTACACTTTATGGGACTGTGTTTGTGCTAAAGTTGCTCTTCCTAGGTCTCGAAAGCAATGAATAATTTGGGTGGTTACCTAGCCTTGTTACGTTGCTCGCTACACTGCAGACTTGTGTCACCATCCTGCATGTTACAGAGTGATTCTAGTCGGGGTTGTAAAGGAGAAATAGAATGAGAGTAAGTTGATGTGTTGACACAGCTTTCAGAGAACAGTAAATAATTCATAGGACTGACCTTTTAAAAAAGTTTTATATTGATACTGGCAGAAATTCAGTTCAGTCAGTTACGCTTTAATCACTTACTAGTCAAGCCTATGAAGCACTGAGATGTTTTGGTTTATACTTTAAAAATAAGTTTGACATCCTGACTGTGGCTATTCCTTGAGGCTCAATAACAGGAGGAGTTAATATTAGTTAAGCCTTCTTGGCAATTGCAAGTGCAACTGAAGAAGTTAATGTTATTTGTAAAATCAATACTGTGAAGACCTTTCTGTATTCTCTGACCCATTTGATAATAAATAATTTCCCTTTGCCATTAATGATGATTAAACTAGAGGAAAGCTTAAACATTTTCTGTAACAGCATGTAAGCTGTAATGTTAGCTCTACAACTGTTTTATAACTTAGCGCAATTTAAATTCATCAAAGTTTGCTTTGTGTTTTATTCATGAGGGTTGTTTTCACTGTGTTTATGCTAATACACAAAAATATGGATCTCATATTTGAGGAAAGTAGGATTTTTTTGGTGGTTTTGTGTTTTCAGTTTTTTTGTTTGTGTTTTGGTTTTTTTTTTTTTTTTTTAAATCAGAAGATTCACCTTAGTGTTATGGCTCAGACCAGCAGACCCACATCAGAGCTGTGTTGTACTCATAACTGTACAAATTGGGATTGCTCCAGAGAAATCTGAAGTGGGACAAAAGGGGGAGAGGATGGAAGGAGCTGACAAATCATCATCTGCAACTGGCCTTTTTCAACAGTGTCCTCAAATAATTGAGAAAATGACTTAATATTACATTGGCAGTTGTCTGACATGTTTGCAATGGAGTTTGTGTTGGACAGCAGTTTGCCTCCACGGTTCCTGCCCTGTCTGGAAAACCACAAGGGGTGTAGGGGTGGGCAACACCTCCCACCTGCCCCAAGTGTTGCAGCATTTGGTGTGAGCTTCCCTGTACTCTCTGATCCCCTGAAATAATGCCATTTCTGAAGATGCGTTTAGGGTTTTTTGAACTGCTTTTCTCATAGTACCGTTTAGTACTTAGTGTCTAATACAAATCCTCTTCCTATGTGATTGATCAGAAAATCTTTTACATAGAGGTTATGATTTTAGGTTGAGCCTATAAAATGGTCCTTTTATTATTAAAATAATACTAGTAGTTTTAAACCTGTGTACTGGGTGCCAGTGGCCTGGCAACAGGGGCTGCAGGGTAGCTCTGTGTGGAGAGGACAGGGATGCCCTGTGCTGGAAACACAGATCCAGCTGGCTCTGACCCACCCAGCGCAAGGCACAGCTGAGCCCACAGCCAAGGGGGGGGCACCTTGGGGACAGTGTGTGTAATAAAGGGCAAAACACCTGGCAGAGAGAGGAGGAGGCAACCAAAAGGAGTGAGAAGCAGCAGAGACACTCTCCATGATGCTAGAGCAGGTCTCCATGCCACCCAGGAGGAACCCACACTGGAGCAGGTGGAGAGTTCTTGTGGGGAACCCATGCTTAAGGATTTTTGTATTCTTGAAGGACTGCATCCCATGGGAGAAAGCCCATGCCAGAGCAGGGTAAATATGTGAGCAGGCAGGAGCTGTGGAGAGGAGCTGTTCCAGACCGACCACAGCTGCCCCTGCCGTCCTGTCCACCCCCTGCACTGCCCTGGGTGGAAGGTGTGGGAGTCTAGGGTGAAAGAATACAGTTTGGCTTAAGAGAGAGGGGAGCAAAGGCGTTGGCTTAATGTTTGTCTCTGCTCCTCACTACCTGAATCTGTTTTAACTGACAGTAAATTACATTAATCTTCCTCAAGCTGAGTCTGTTTTCTTGCAGTGGTAATTGATAAGCCATCTCCCTCTCTGTATCAGTAGCTGGGTGGGAGTTTGGCCCTTAGGTTGTGGTGGGTTAACTATGGCTATTCTTTTAATTTTTAGTCACAAGGCTTGTAGATCTGTTGAGGTTGGATGCTGGAGGGCAGGAAGTTCAGCACTCTGGTTCCAGCTCACAGAGTCGTGTTAGCTTCTGTGTTTCCTGGGCTCCTTCTCTGAAACAGCTCTTGGATAAATTCAAGAGGTGGAGATCCTTGATACTGAAAAACCTGACTCTGACTGGGATGCCTCTATCAGTATTTGCATCAACTAAATTGAATCATCGTGTCATTTTACCGTAATGAACATTACAGTTCAGGAAATGTAATTATTCATGATAGCATAACTGAACTTTCCATTCATAGCCTAATGATGGTTTTTCAGTAGATTTATTATACTTGTATTTAAATCCTGCCTATTTTTTCACCATCTTGAGCCTAGCAATTGAAGTAATAACTTGGCTGGTCTTTGAATTACAGCTCTACTGCAAAAAAGTTGCTTTTGTGAAAACACTTTGTCATAACATCATATAGGAACTAACAATCTTCAAATTAAAATATAAACTGGAAATAGCATAAACTGGTACTTTAAGAAATTGATTCCAGTGTTAATACATACAATCTTGGTAGAATGTGTTTTTCCCTAATTTAGTTTCTGCTCTTTTTACCTTGAAATATGATCTTGTGTAATCTGATAAAATGTCTATCAATCAAATGGTTGGGTTTGGAGGATGTGGTGTAGAAAGAAAACCTAGTGATGTTTTCTAATTTTTGTATATTTTTTTTAATTGGTTGCTTTCCTCATTTGGCATGTATCTTTTAAATAATTAGAAATGTTTGCTCAAGTAAGTTGCTTTACTAATATTTGTAATGATTTGTCTTTTAAAATTAAATATTAGTCAAATATGCTATTTCACTTGATTTATGCTATAATCAAAGAACCTGTTTATTTGGGAGAAGTTTCAGTATAGGACCATCTGCAAAATGTTTTTGTCCTAAAACACCTACGTTTTCAAGCAGTGAAGCAGAAGGCTTTGTGTAGTGGCATTAATGTTGAGAAAGTATGATTGATGATGGTCTTGTCACTTGAAATTCATTTCAGATGTTATGTTCCCAGTGTTAACTTAAAGTAATTCACTGTAACATAAATGGATGTTTTTTATAATATGCAAATACAAGGTTAGTAATGTAGTAACTTTGGCAGCATAAGATAAAACGTGACTACAGTGACTTTGTCCTCTGAATCTCTCAGGTGAAAGTTTGCAGTGAAAGTTTTACAGAGAAGCAGCTGGTCGTGCTTTTCTGAGATATTATAAGGTCATTGTCTAGGGCACGAGTCTACTGAATAAAATGGTAATACTTCTGAGTGGGAGAAGTGATATTAAGGGCAATGACTTCAGGAGTGTGTGTGGCAGAGAAAACTGAAGCCTGTACGTGGAATTGTTACCTGCAAGACAAAGGAACTCGCTGTACTTTTTTTTGTGGGCTTTTTCATTTTTTTGCCATGGCCCCTTAATTGTCCCATTGCTGACTGTTTTCTGAAATACATCCTTAATTGACAACGTAAAGTAATTGTAAATAATATTAGGAGGTTAAATGGAATTTAACTGTATTCAGTATTTTGTCTTTCTGTTTCTTGACTTGGCTTTTTGCATCTACTACAGAGCATAAGATTTTGTTGAGTACTACATTTGCATCATAAACAGTTGCTGTGGTCTTTGCATACTCCTGTCTGGTTTGATTTGTATGGAAATGCTTTGATCTTCAAATCCATGTAGGTATTTCACGATAGTCAAGCTAACAAAGCAGGATTTGCAGTATTTGAAGCATGCTTAACTGTTAAGATGTCCCCCAAATTTGAGAAAAAACACTGGAATAGAATATATTAATTTCAAGTACAATTTGATTTGTATGTTGTGTGACAGATGTGATAACCTGGAAACTTGTCTCAGTTAATTTGGCGCCTGTTTAATGTAATTTATTAATATACTGGTAACAGTAATTGGGGAATGATGCACTACAGTCAATGAGAAAGAACTGTAATGGCATATGTGGTTGGTAAATAAACGAAAGTCCATGTCTCAGAGTGACACTGTGTTACAAATTTGCATTTTCTCCTGGTTGCTTTCGTATGGGCTTCTGTGACCCACAGCTAATTGTATGTGATAGCTGTGGCAGTATCTATCTGGAATTGATTTCATCACCTGTGTTCTGGCTTAGCAAGTTTATGGAGCAAGCAAAAAGAAATGGGTTGAATCACTAAAAATTGTGATGACTAGCTTTTCAATTACATTATTTTTTTCTCATACATTTTTTTAATGAAATATGGAGAGTGGCTGTTTTCCTGAGTAAACTGTTACGATATCCTAAGCCAGGGAATGTACGTTGCATGTGGAACATTAATGTGTTTTTGCCATCCCTATTAATGATGAAGATCAGAAGACCTTTGGGGAAGGACTAAATCTTAAATCCTGTTTTCAATCAGAAGGAAAAATGGGAAATGACTGTCAGTACCTCAAAATCAGACATGAAATAAATTGAATAATAGTCACATCAGGTGATAGACTGATAGAATCTTAACATATAGAGTCTTTTTAGAGGTTGGAACACTTCTTTAAGCAGCAAGTGTAAGAGTAAATTATGCACAAGTTTCATCTCAAATGCCTTTGCCAAGATGTGTTTAAAAGAAATTCGACTGTAGGACTAATTAAAAAAAAACCCACTGATTTTACTGATTACACAACTCAAGTGTTTTGAACTCTTTTCAGAAAAACTGTAGCAATATGCTTTTGAACTTACTGAATATTTATTTTCAAACTTTTAAATATAGATGAAGTGAGTAGTTCTAGAAATGCTAGTCACTGTCACTGTTGCTACAGCTAATTTCTGGGTGGTCTCATTGTATAGCTTTCCCTTCTACTACGGTTTCCCCGAGAAAATTTCATCTCTTAATGTAATTTTTCTGCAATTAATTGCTAATTTGCATATTTATAGCGGAGAGGAAGTAGACCTTTTTTGTAGTTCTTGTAAATGAAGATTATTTGTCAGCATATTTTTTCCTGGAAATAGGAAAGCAGGGTATGTTTCGGAGGCACTATAATTGAGCAGAATTTTTAGAACAAAATCAAACCCTGTTGTCTTCTGGACAGTCTGTACAGGCTGTCACTGAGATCTCTGGAGTCTGTCTTCCTGAAATATTAGAAACATGATTTAACTAGGCTGAAAATATAAGCTGGAATAGTTAAACTTGGCTCTAGTAGCATTGGGCCTCTTGATGTACCCTGCCTGGCCCCCTCCCTTTCCAGCTGTGACTTCATTTTGCATCTCTGGCTTGTAAAGAAGCAGATCATTATTTGAAGAATGGCTTGTCTCCAGGAAAGCATCAAATGCCTCTACATTGCCTGTACTCTGTTGCCAGGCTCCTATTGGATCATCACTTTATTCCTAGTGGCCAACAACTTCCCTGCCTCAGGAGGGTACTGCTTGTATCCCTGAATATCTTGACCGCAGGGATACATTTTAAAGTTGGGTAATCAGTGTCTTATGCTCAGCTGATTCTGGTTGGTTGGTTGATTTAGCATTTCTTTTGATTGAATTTCCTGCTGAATTATCTCAGGTTATTTTATAGTTAATTCCTGATTTTTTTTTTCTCTAAATTCCTGAATTTGTGACCTACAGGGACATACTGACCTACTGATACAAACTGCTTTTTACTGTGTAACAAGATATTTCTGGTTATTTTTCCATTCCTTTTTGAGGATGTAGCCTTGTATTTCCATAAGAGGTGTACTGTATTGTATCTGCATATCCAGTTATCTCATGTGATCTGTTCAGCTTGAAGAAAGGTACAAGTCGAAAGCTTGGTGTTCAAACATTATTGAGTTAGCTCAGGAGAGAGGGATCAGTGTTCCACCTTTACAGGTCTACCTTAATCTGTCAGTCTTTCAAGCCTGTCTGGATTTACAAGGACTGGAGTCCTGAAAGATAACAGTAGCTTGGTGTGAAGCACTTTGACGTGGGCGTGGACTGAAATGTCTTTGTCCGAGATGGTGTTCTTTCCTCTTGAGGTATGTAAGTAGGAGGTGGTCTAGTAGCAATAAACTGTATTAGATTAGGCATGTCTCTATGGCTTTACCTGGGCTGCTTTTTGTTACTCCTTGGATCTTCTGTTACTGTGAAATAGAGAACCAGGAGTGTTTTTCCATAGATTCTGTGTGGGTTATGTATGTTTGGTTGCATGTCAAGTGTAAGTATATATGTACATTATTTTTATCATCTCATTTGATGATGCCTCATCTGTCTGAGGGAGGAGGCACAAAAGTACTGTAATTTTGCTACAAAATATCTATTTTTGTACTAAAAATGGATTTTGGAAGGTGATATATTAATTCAACATCTATGGGTCACAGGGAAGTGTCCAGCTATAAGTGAAATTTTGTAAAATCATGCATATGCTGTGCAGACTTTTGAAACGACACTAAGTTAGCTGTTCAGTGTCTGAGTTGTAGAAAGGCAGAAAGCAAGGTGAAGTATCAGGGAAAAACAGACCAATGAAGATACTAAGTTTCAATTTACATTTAGCTTGTGAAAGATTTTTTTTCTGTATTTATGTAAACAAATTCCTTTTCATGTGAATACTAGTATTTTTCTGTTTGTAAGGATTGATGTTTAATTTAAATAATCTGTAGTCTTGAACAAATATCAGAAAGCAAAGGTCTTTTTATTACCATTTGTCACAAGCAAAATGACATGGTTTATTAATGGCTGCAACCTTTGTTTATAGAGGTACATATGAAAGAAATGGATTAAATTTGGATGTAGTGCTTAGAGTTCCTAAGTAATAGAAAACCCCATGAGTTTTCCCTGTTATTTTCCTAGTTATGCTGCCCAAGTGAGGTGAAGGTTGTTTTGTTACCAACTTTCTTAATCCCAAACATTATTTGTGTTTCTTTTTACTCCATCCTTTTTGATTTATAGATAATAAAAATAAATTTTAAAAAAAGTGGAAATCCTAACACACCACTCCCCCACCCCCTCTCTTTAAAAAACTGAAGTGTGAATCAGGAGAATCTTCCTTGGGGAACATGAAAATGTTGCATTACTTTTTTGGAAAGTAGGTAGAATACTACCAGTTGTCAAAGTGAATGCATAAAACTGTTAATCGCTTCTTACTCCAGATGACAGGCTTTTAAAGGAATTGTTGGAAGAGTTTAGTCTCCCAGGCACTGTTGTAGAATGCTAGGCATGTAACAGCCCTTGGTGAAAGAAAGCAAATACCTGTTTCTCGTTAAAAGTTGATGATCATATTGCATGAACAAATAAGTAAAAGAAATGTAACAGGAGGATGTAGGCTAAAGAATAAGAACTATGAATTAATTTAGGATATATTTAAATTCAAAATGAGTCTCTTATCTGTCACGCACAAGAGCATTTTGTATTGTTAGATATTTTAATAAGTGGGATTTCAAAGACAGATTACAACATGCTCCTAAACTTTACTGAAATTCTTTCTCTCAATTGTTTCTACTGAACAAATGAAAATCTTGGGGTTAATCCGCTTTTAAATTTGTGATGTTCTCTGATGTTCCTGTATAGGAAACAAGGGTCACTGGAGAGGAGGCATATTGATGCTTGTAGTTACTTTCTTTTTCCTCCTTCTGAGTACTTTTATCACTCATAGTACAACTAGTCAATTTTAGAGTAACTAGTTTTAAATAGTGAGTCCAGTTGGACTTTCGATCTGAAACTTGTTCAGGAGGAATAAAGAGGTGAGTGCTGTGGATCATCTGATGATGTGCATTTGCTGAAATTTAGTCTGGGGAATAACATGTGATTTTCATTATTAGTACTTTCCATTTTTTAGTGGAAAACTATTAGGCACTTTATTCATCTGTAAATTTTTCTTATGCCGTAGGATAATGCTGTTAGAGCCTGCCATGAGAACAGAGAGATGATTGAAGTAATAATTAGAGAGGCAGGAATAAAAAATTCTTCCAAGCTGCATGCTTTTGAAACCAGAACTGTGTTTATATCTGTGACTTTGGGAATTTATAATGGTTCTGAGATAGTGGGTAATTCATGTGAAGTCCACAGCCTAGTACCTGGCTCTTTAAAGAGTTGGATTTTGTCATGAGCAGATGTAGGATACTTGAATTCAGTTGTTGCAAGGAAGAATACATCAGACAGAGCATGAGCATAAACTGTGCTCTACTGCTGAGAGGTTAAGAAGTAGCTGTGGAGTAGTGGAGAATGAAGTTCCTGACCTGACCTGGACAGGGTACTCTGCCAGCATTCCTGACAAATCTGTGCAGAAGCTGTATGGGGGTCATTGTAAGCACTTCTTTCATGTGGAAGCCTTTTCTGTTCCCCAGGCATGAATGTCGTTATGAACAGGAGAGGGATATGAGATATTTGCAGAAAAGAAATCAATTTTCTTTTCTTTTTCATAATCTCCTTTGCCTGTGTGACAGTGACTGGAAGCCAAAGAGAACCTCTAGGGAATAGAATGGAAGAAGCTTTTGTTTATATGTATGTTGTTGTTGTTTCTTTTATTTTTTAATTTAATTTTTATTTTAAAGACATGGTTCACCATAGAAATTTGTGTAGCAGATAGTAACATAGTCTCATCTGACAAGTGATTACTCTGAGCTTGGGATTAGTTCTTCAGCTTTTCTCCTTACATTTTTTTCTGAATCTCACTACTGAAATCTAAATCATAATCACCAAGAATTTCCCTGGCCACAGATGCATGTTCATTCAGCCACTTAAATGGCATAGTGAAAGCAACCACAATGGGATTGTGTATCTGAGTGCA